TTAGAATATTTCAATTTTCAGTAGACCATTTGCTTTATATCCAGTTTGCTTAATGGCTTTTCTATATGGCTGTGTACACGGCCCCCAATCCTTTACACTGTGCACTATTATCTGGTAGAGGACAGCTGGTTTTCTTCTGAGATTAATCTTCTCTTCAGGTATAGCTATTGCTGTGTCTGCACAGGTGAATCAAGCCCAATATTCCACAAAATGCTGAAGTGGATTAATGACATCCACTTTGACATCCACTTGACTTTGGTATTAAGTACTAGGTGCTACAGGATCTTAACACCTTTCACAGGATTATGCCTGTTTCAGGTTAGCATGTACAGAAAATCTGTATCCAGGTGTGCATCAGTCTCCACTCAAAGGCCAGAAGGGACTATCAGATTATCTAATCTGGCCTCCTGGGTATCACAGTCTACCAGCCTTAAGTATTACAGCCTCCAGGAAACTACAGATTCAACCTCTCAAATCTCAGAACTTTCTGGTCTGGCAACATCCAATTGCTGGGGATCCCCAGTCTAGGGATCCGCAACTGTGTCTAGGGCCTGTGGCAGCTGGGGATCCCCATGGCTGAGGATTCCCGGCTGTGCTGGTATTGGCTGGGGATCCCCAGCGGGGCAGCAGTAGGGACGGGCAGTAAGCTGGGAGGCCAGTGGCAGGGGATCTCCCCTGGTCCAGCAAAATCCCTCATTTGGGACTGGTCAGTTCCCAAGGGTGCCAGACCCGGGAGGTCCAACCTATAGGCTATTATGAGCCACGGGCAGAGAATAGGAGGCACTGAGGTACCCTAGTGGCTACTGTATTATTCATTCTCTCATCGGTCTGTGCATGATTTTGTTTGAACCCCATATAAATGGAGGTTCCACATACCTGTTACGGATTTAAACTAATTATTAGGTTATGGGACACTAAAGATACAAATTGGAACCATGTTGTAATCCAATCAGGGGACAATTGTGTAGTAGCTGAGTACAAGTCTGTTATATTTCTAATGCGGATGGATCCAAAAGGCACTGAGTACACATTCCCTTTGTTTTAGCTCTATTCGTTGATACTGACTATTGTTAGTTAGTTATTCTTGTTTGGGGTATTAATTTTTATACTACCATTTAATCATCTGAAATATGGAGTTGGTCTGGTGCCTTACATGCATTCCCAAGCATACTTGTCATATTTAAATATATGCAGTTTTTTAAAAATAGTAAAATATTCAATTACTAGTGAGTTTAAAAACCCAGAACAATCTTGCCAGTTTCTCTCTTTATTCTAGAAATAAAATAATAAAGTACACTGATATCAAACTTCCTCTCTCTCCAACAAGAGACCAGCCACTAAACTGATGACTTCTGGATTAACCAAACAATCTAGCAAGTCATTTGTAGAAATGGCCATTTGTGAAGAGTTTGCAGTGCTGTCTGATTCAGTTTGATCTGCCAATGTTTCATAGTCACTGTTCATTACCGATTGCTTCCCAGTGCAGCGTAATTTTCCAAAATGTCGTCCTTCATTTTCACTGAGAAGGTCTCTAAAGTCACTTTCCACTGCTCCTGCTCCCACCATGCTTGCTTCTTGAGGCTGTGGTAATACTGGAAGAAGATGTACCCCGAAAGGTATTTTCTGCAATTTTTGTGCTTTAACCACTGTAAGTCCAGCTTCATGGGTCAGTGATTTGCAATCCTCTGGTTTGGTGTTTACTTGCATTTTCCTTCTTTTACTTGAAGATGCCCCCTTCTCTATATCACGAGTGCTGGGATCTCTGTCCTCTGATACAGTTGCCTTTTGGTAGTCTAAATATGCAGACGTTGCTTTATTTAAGTATTGAAGATTGGTTTCATGGGATGTTGCCTCAACCTAAACAAGCGAACAAAAATAAACCTAGTGAACAAGCTGTACGTTTCTATTCAGTGCTTATTCTTAGCTGCACGAAAGGCACTTAAAAAATTGTTTCACAGGAAGAAAAGACTCATAATAAGTTTAAAAGAAATGTCAGTAACTCCAGGCTATTGCTGCTAATGGAAACAAGAGGGAGCTTACTTCTGTGGGATTCAGCCAGGCAGCCACATGGCTGGGGTTTTCTGCAGATTTTATGGCACACACTAGCGTTCGAGTTATTGCCTCTTCTACCCGGGCTCTGTGGTCGGCATCCTGTCTCAAGAAAATAAAAGGTAAATGTAAAAAATGTGGCACTTCATATCCTTTAAAAAGCCCATGGACTTTGGAGAGGACCAAACCAACAGTCTTAACTTGAAAATCCTTCTTAACACAAGGATGACAAGCCAATGGGTCTGCCGAGTCCTTGCCATTCCTTACTCATGCAAGTAGTTGTTATTGGAATAGTCATGGGAGCTGACAGCCGTGCCAGGCCTCTGGGTATGTGTGTGTGTGTGTGGGGGGGGGGCGGCGGTGGCTCCGTGGTCACAGAAGGGGCAAGGCCGGGGACAGACAGCCCTGAGAGTGCCACCCAGACCATGGCATGGGCCCCCCCTCCTCTCTAGCCCTCAGGAGCACAGTGCTGGGTGCTCTGGCAGCAATTTAAAGGACCTGGAGCGACCGCTGGTGCAGAATGTGGGCGCCCCAAGCCCTTTAGAATCACCAGTCCTGGGACGACTGCCTCCTTTGCCTGCCCTGTTGACAGGTCTGCATGGGGCTATTCACATGAGGGAAGAGGCTGCAAGAGGGATCTTTTGTTGTTGTTTAAATCTGGTACCTCATCAACTATACAGCATAGGGATCCTGTTGAATTTCTATTGATATACATTTATACAATCCCTTTGATTTAGACAGACCACTATAGCATTTCACAAAATTATACATATAAATATTTTAAACACTTGAAACACAAAGGATTTGAGCACGAGACAGCAAATATCTTGGGGCTACCAAGACACAGGACTAAGTTCTATGAAAATTCAGGAAGCTCATTGTCATCTGACAGTAAAAGAACCTCACTGATGTGGGGTTGCAATTTTAAATAGCAACAGAAGGAAAAAGAAATGTTTCCTTTACTGAAAGATGCTGATATGCTTCTGCTGGAATAAAAAGCCAGTTATTGATAGAGCTTCACAAATGTGAAATAAAATGAAAAAGAACATATAAAGTGACATGCAACAAAACTTGCCACCTGCAGTAGCAACTCCTACTCCATGGGACCACTCCCAAATCTGAGTGGCACTATGGGCCTGTGTGCCAGGTTGCAATGGCTAGAATGGAGCAGGGATGTCAGTGTGTAGACAACTACACAACCCTGGACTTCAGAAAAGCAGACTTTGACTCCCTCAGAGAACTGACGGGCAGGATCTCCTGGGATGCTTACCTGAAGGGGAAAGGAGTCCAGGAGAGCTGGTAGTATTTTAAAGAAGCCTTATTAAAGGCACAGGAAGAAACCATCCCAATGAGCAGCAAGACAAGCAAATATGGTAGGCGACCAGATTGGCTTACTGGGAACATCCATGATGAACTTAAACACAAAAAGGAAGCTTACAAGAAGTGGAAAATTGGACAGATGACTGGGGAGGAGTATAAATATATTGCTCGAGAATGCAGGGGAATTATCAGGAAGGCGAAAGCACAATTGCAATTGCAGCTAGCAAGGGATGTGAAGGATAACAAGAAAGGTTTCTACAGGCATGTTAGCAAGAAGA